GGTCTACAGACAATCACAGACTACAAAAGGAAAACCAGCCACGTCGCCGACACCGACGTCTCGCTTCCAGACAAGCTAAACACCTTCTTTGCCCGCTTTGAGGATAACACAGTGCCACTGATGAGGCTCACTACCAAGGACTGTGGCCTCTCCTTCTCCATGGCCGACGTGATTAAGACATTTAAGCATGTTAACCCCCGCAAGGCTACCGGTCCAGATGGCATCCCTAGCCGCGTCCTCAGAGCATGCGCAGACCAGCTGGCTGGTGTGTTTATGGACATATTCAATCTCTTCCTTTCCCAGTCTGCTGTTCCCACATGCTTCAAGATGGCCACCATTGTTCCTGTACCCAAGAAAGCAAAGGTAACTGAACTAAATGACTATCACCCTGTAGCACTCACCTCTGTCATTATGAAGTGCTTTGAGAGACTAGTCAAGGATCATATCACCTCTACCTTACCTCTCACCCTAGAACCACTTCAATTTGCTTAACGCTCCAATAGATCCACAGACGATGCAATCGCCATCACACTGCACACTGCCTTATCCCATCTGGACAAGAGGAATACCTATGTAAGAATGCTGTTCATTGACTATAGCTCAGCATTCAACACCATAGTACTCTCCAAGCTCATCATTAAGCTTGAGGCCCTGGGTCTGAACCCCGCCCTGTGCAACTGGGTCCTGGACTTCCTGACGGGCCGCCCCCAGGTGGTGAAGATAGGAAACAACATCTCCACTTCGCTGATCTTCAACACTGGTGCCCCACAAGGGTGCGTGCTCAGCCCCCTCCTGTACTCCCTGTTCACCCATGACTGTGTGGCCAAGCACGCCTCCAACTCAATCATCAAGTTTGCAGACGACACAACAGTAGTAGGCTTGATTACCAACAATGACGAGACCACCTATAGGGAGGAGGTGAGGGCTCTGAGAGTGTGGTGCCAGGAAAATAACCTCTCACTCAACATCAACAAAACAAAGGAGATGATCGTGGACTTCAGGAAACAGCAGAGGGTGCACCCCCCTATCCACATCGACAGGACCGCAGTGGAGAAGGTGGAAAGCTTCAAGTTCCTTGGCATACACATCACCGACAAACTGAAATGGTCCACCCACGCAGACAGTGTGGTGAAGAATGCGCAACAGAGCCTCTTCAACCTCAGGAGGCTGAAGAAATTCGGCCTAGCATCTAAAGCCCTCACAAACTTTTACAGATGCACAATTGAGATCATCCTGTCGGGCTGTATCACCGCCTGGTACGGCAACTGCACCGCCCACAACCACAGGGCTCTCCAGAGGGTGGTGCGGTCTGCCGAACGCATTACCGGGGGCAAACTACCCGCCCTCTAAGACCAAGACACATACAACACCCGATGTCACAGGAAGGCCAAAAAGATCATCAAGGACATCCACCACCCGAGCCACTGCCTGTTCACCCCGTTATCATCCAGAAGGCGAGGTCAGTACAGGTGCATCAAAGCTGGGACCGAGAGAATGAAAAACAGCTTCTATTTCAAGGCCATCAGACTGTTAAATAGCCATCACTAGCACATTACAGGCTGCTGCTGCCTATTGAAATCAATGGCCACTTTAAGAAATGGAACACTAGTCACTTTAATAATGTTTACATATCTTGCACTACTCATCTCATATGTATATACTGTACTCTATTCTATAATATTCTACTGTATCTTAGTCCATGCTTCTCTGTCATTGCTTGTCCATATATGTATATATTCTTAAATCCCATTCCTTACTAGTTTTGTGTGTATTGGGTATATGTTGTGAAATTGTTAGATATTACTTGTTAGATATTACTACACTGTCAGAGCTAGAAGCACAAGCATTTCACTACACCCGCATGTGACAAATAACATTTGATTTGATTGTTGTTTTTTAAATTTATTTTACCTTTATTTAACTAGGCAAGTCAGTTAAGAACAAATTCTTATTTACAATGACGGCCTACACCGGCCAAACCCGGACGACGCTGGGCCAATTGTGTGCCACCCTATGGGACTCCCAATCACGGCCGGTTGTAATACAGCCTGGAATCGAACCAGGGGGTCTGTAGTGAAGCCTCAAGCATTGAGATGCAGTGCCTTAGACCGCCGCGCCACTCAGGAGCCCCACTCGGTTTAGAGCTTGCAAGAAAGGCATTTCACTGTACTTGTGCACATGACATTAACACTTTCAACTTGAACACACACACACACACTGATTGATTTGTGTCCACCAAACTGAGAAGAGCTGAAGGTTTGGGACCCCTGTGACAGATTTAAAACCTCCATGGGCAATAACTGGAATGAATATGTGGGACCCTGATTCGGTCACAAACTGAATACATATCTTATGAGCTCAAATTAAATATCTGGTTGGATCATATTCTATTGATGAGATGTTAATGTGCTTTTATGGAGCCTTAGAGGACAAATCATGGTTTCATCTTCGACAAAAGTTCCCGATGTGACATATTGTTTCACATTATAATGGTCACGTTGATGTCGGCCAATTCCAACATTTTCTACATAGCAACACTGTGGAAACTGAATATGTACGTGAATTCAATGTGTGCATCCAAGCTTACTAAATAAGTGTAGAGATGCCATTGTAACAAGGGTTCAGAGAAAAAAATACTAAGACCAGATGTAGGCAGCATACAAGAGCTCATAAAACGTGACTTTGTTCTCTAGAAGCAACCATCATATCAGTCACTTCACATTACAGACAGGAATTTATAGACCCACATCAGGCATTACTAATCAATGATCATCAACTCCAATTTCCAACTCTTACAATATTTCTCGAGGAAATGCCCTATTAGGGGTTGATGTAATGAACAGATTAACTACTGGTAATTAACTACCAATTCTCACAAAGGCTTTTTTCTACCTGAGACTGAACAGTTATGAGAAGATTATTTTGGAATATGAGCGTACCTCGAGGAAATGTTGGTAGGGTTCCAGTAGCTGTGAGCCATCCAACTATAAATTACCCTGTAGTGTCATTTGAAGGCTAGACATTGATTTACAATTGATATAAATACTTCCAATGGTAAATACTACAAAGTAATCATATATTTTAGAATAATTTTAGAGTATACTGTATCTATATCCCTTGATAAGTTGGTACAGTTTTACTCAACACTACTCATACAAGTGTATTACTGTAAGGCTTTCAAAATCTCAGATAAACCTTCATATCATCATTAGAATAGATGTGGGCTTATACTATTGTGGCTCCCTTCCCGTCCTTTGAATCTCTGTTAGTGACTTTCATCTTTGAGATGTTCTTTTCTCTAGTTCCACATCGGGCCTTTGAATAAACGTCTTAAATGTTGATTCTAATTGGACTGTAATTCTCAGGGACGGCTGAATCTAGCTTAATGATCAATTCTTAGCCAAGATTTATGAAAAGTAAATCTCACTAGTAGTATTTAAATTAGCATACATGAGAAGTAGACTTGCGATGTCATATTCTTCACCCTTTTGCATTTACAATGTTGTTGATACTTCCTATAAGTTGGGCTTCTGTGATAGCCTGTATCGTTGACTGGAAATAAATCTACTTGTATTGCTAGAAATGGACAATGAATGCCCCATTCCGGCCTTACTGTTGTGTGTTACATTACTTACATAACTGTAGGCTTGGCAATATCTTTACAATTTTCCAAGCTGTTCCTGGAAACATACAGGAGTAGAACCCCCCCCACAAAAGGCCAGGCTAGGGGCAAACAGTATGCATTGTGCTTATGAACACGTATACCCACGCCACTTACGATATAACAGTTGACCATTTCCCCACAGACAAAGATGACCTTAGTGTTGAACATTCTGTTGCCAGGCATTATTCAGATGCGAGTGCGCAATTTGTTCTCCATCTTTTCTGATGTCGTAAAACACAGAGCAGTAAATATGCTCTAACCTTCCCAGGCCCGGCCCTCCCTCCCTCCCTCCCTACAGATTGAACAGCCAAGCCCAGGCAGTCAGGGCGGTAGGTATTGTGGTTCCCATAAAGACGGTGTCATGACTGAAATTAATACAATATATCACACTTTGCAAAGACTTCCATTACTCCTAGGCTGAAATAAACCACCCCCCACTCCCACGAACCACTAACGTGATCATAATAATTTAGAGGAGTTTTTCTTTCCCTTACCATTTGAGAATGCTCTCGGAGCGAGCACCACAGTTCAGGGTTCAACTCTGAACAGTGGCGGAGGATGTCTGAGAAGATGCATTAGAGCTCCTCCCCACACCCACACCCCCCGAGGGAACCAGCCAGGCCAATCTCGGGTGTTACCTGGGTATGGTGACCCAGGATGGGTGGGGTGTGTGTGGGGTGATTAAGGGCTCTTTTCAATCTATATCGCGTAAATTCAGCATTACAGCGTGATTGACATTTAAAGGCAATGTTCCCGCTTTAGCAGAGACTGCGTTCACGGTAAATGTGGCTCAATAGGAAATTACCTTTAAATGTCTAACGCTTCAGCAATACAGATTCAATAGAGTCCTAGATGTTTTTGTGGCCTCCTACCTGCCCCACCGGCTGCTGCATTCAGGGAGAGAGAGGCTCTGCATGTTTACTCATGCTTATCTGGATGGACACGGGTACAGTGTTTGCGAGGATTCACATGGATGCCTATTTCCTTAGTGTGGTAGGGTTTAAAAAAACAGACCAAATAACTGTTCTATCATCTCCTTTTTTTCACATTCTCAAACATGGACACAAGACTGTGTAATTCTGCTCTGAGGACAACAGTCTTTTCTGTCTGAATGGGTGTGATGATGAGCACCAACTCCTTGTGATTGTTGCCTGTATGATTCAGTGTTTGTTCTGAATATAGCCTGATTATTATTCCAACCTCTTTGTTACTACTCATGGTGTGAATTGGATCTATTACGTGAACTGGAAAGCATGATGGTATGCTTGTTTTATGACAGACAGACACAAGACACATTTCCCCTTGGGTATTCACTAAAATAAAATAAAATGTCAAAATGCTCACTAGCATGTTTTTGTCACTGTTTTCCACAGAGATTGACAAAGAGAGTTGCGGGGACCCTGGTACGCCCCTCTATGGGATAAGGGAAGGAGTCAGCTTCTTGAATGGGGGCATCCTGCGGTTTGAGTGCCAGTTTGGGTTCGAGCTCATCGGGGAGAGGACCATATCTTGTCAGAACAACAACCAGTGGTCGGCCAACATCCCCATGTGCATCTGTGAGTATGAACATCTAAATCACATCTAATTTCTGGGGTCTAAAACGCATCTAATTTCTGGGGTCTAAAACGCATCTAATTTCTGGGGTCTAAATCACATCTAATTTCTGGGGTCTAAATCACATCTAATTTCTGGGGTCTAAAACGCATCTAATTTCTGGGGTCTAAAACGCATCTAAATTCTGGGGTCTAAAACATCTATTTTCTGGGGTCTAAAACACATCTAATTTCTGGGGTCTAAAACACATCTAATTTCTGCGGTCTAAAACATCTAATTTATTTTGTCATTTTCTTTATGTGTCTAAAACTAACTCAGTTTCTTGTTATTATGTACAAAAACATCATTATTCTCTCTTCATGTTGTTGCAAAGAAGAAAATAGCTATGAACCATTTTCATGGATGGACAGTAATGGTCTGCATTCTAAATGGCACCTTATTCCCTACATAGTGCACTAATTTTGACCAGAATCCTATAGGCCCTATACTATATATAGAATAGGGTGCAATTTGGGATACGGTCATGCTCATCTGTTAGTAAGAACCATTCTGCCGTTCCCATGTGTAATGGATAGGGGGAACTTAAACGTGGAGTACATATCTACTTCTTACTTACTAAACATGCTACGGAAAGTGTGTTGATGGATTTCTAGCTTTGAGAGGCAAACATTATGCTATGTTACATTATTTACATTTTATGTTATTTATTCAGGTAAGTCAATTAAGAACAAATTCTTATTTACAATGACGACCTGAACATGATCCTCTGGAGTAAGAAGCATATTTCAGTTCCATATAGTGACTGAAACATTTTCAGGGTTAACACTCTATTTGTATTGATATAAATTCAGTTCTATGCTGATGATATGGAAGTCTAATAAGTGGACGCGCTTCATCGTGCTTCATCATCGCGCCTCATCAGTTCATCAGCCTTTGAAAAAGACACACTTAACTTAGTAAATCAGTCTTCCGTCGCTGCTTTAGGCTCTCACTAATGCGTCAAATCATTAATTCACTGCTCTGTTCTCCAAAATCAGTCATACTAATAGTTCTCTGATTAACTGTCTTATATAGAATGCTTATGGGACTAGAGAGAGGTATTACACACCCCCGACCATAGGAGTTAGTGTAATTTGCATTTGAATGCATTCATATTTCATTGAGTGGGAGATCAAACTGCCAAAGGGTGAAATAATCTCTTAGAAATATCATCCTACACGGCACATTCAATTGCATAGAAGAAAACTTGGAACATACTGCACTGTACAGTTCTCCCATACACATCTACAGTTATGTCAGTGTCCTATCACTGCATTTATGTAATCAAAACCAATTAAAATGGACCTCTGTGGAATATGATGTTGTTGGATGTACCATATAAACTTACATTTCACAAAGTTACTTTTGACCTCTGGAGGGGGGGTAGATAGGCCAATACAAAGAAAATACAAAAATTATTATAAATAAATAAATGTAAAAAAAAACATATTTCACCAATTTCTGCCACATACAGTACAGTTCTGGGGCATTAAAAAGTTAGGTCATGTTGCAGAACCGGTAGAACAATTGCCACAACATGTGTGCAACACAGCACTCTATTGTCTCCTAGTGATAGTTAGTTAAGAATACCTGTACCACAGTACTTTTTAGCCCCCCAATCATATAATCCAAGTCTCCTCTCTTTGTCCCCTCCCTCTCCTCTACAGTCCCATGCCTGTCCAACTTCACGGCACCAATGGGCACGGTTCTATCACCGGACTACCCAGAAGGCTACAGCAACAACATGAACTGCGTATGGCTGATCATATCAGAGCCCGGCAGTCGCATCCACCTGGCCTTCAACGACTTTGACCTGGAGGCTCCTTACGACTTCCTCACCGTGAAGGACGGCGAGCTGCTGGACGCCACCATCCTGGGACGCTTCTCGGGGGCAGAGTCACCCTCCCACCTCGACAGTAATACTAACCTACTGAGGCTGGAGTTCCAGGCAGACCACTCCATGGCCGGACGAGGGTTCAACATCACATACAGCAGTAGGATTAACCCTGACATTGTGTTCTTTGCTGTTCTTTATTTGTCATTGTCAGTTGATTAAGGCTCAGTTCAGTTGAACCCACGTTGCGGTTTTTTTGCATGGTGAAATTGAGTTGAGTCCTTGGTTCTTACCAGCTATAGCTTATCGTTTTGTGGCACCTTGTGGTGACTTTACTGTAATGACCATAGTCCTGTATATCTTGTCCTGATTGGATTCTTGTGATGTTTGTCCAACCCTGGCCTATCGCTCATGTCATTGTCAGTTCTTTTTAGTCCTCACATAAGGTCTTAATCAATTTCCATCCAACCGACTTTGCCCCTCACACCCATAATAGTTATAATTTTCAAAATGGCCGCCTGATAACGACTGCTTTCTGAAGGAGAAGTGAAATGTCACGCCAATCCATCACTTCTGTCAAAAGAATGAGGCCATGAGTCCTTATGAACGACTGTTAGAGCTGGCCTTTCTAACAGCCTGACACCCAGACTGGTAGGAAAACGTTATGTTTGACTGGCGTGCTCGTTCTGTCACAAGGCATCCATCAGTCAGTCAGTCTGACTTGGGCTGTGAGGCTGTGATGAGAAGAGTTTAAGGCCGTTTTAGTTGGGAGACATCTTGCGCCAGGGTTTATGTCCACTCTACGGTTCATAAAGGTCTGACAAAATAGCTGGGAGGTCACTAGCACTATAACGAAAATAATATTTTCATGTAGTGAGGTGCTTCGAATATTGCCTTGAAGTGATGCTCCAGACCTTATGTATATTTCAGCCAGTAGTTTTGAAAGTAGTGCTCACAAGCCTTAATGGGTCCCACGAAAATTGTGCACAATTGTGTACTACGTCATCCATTTCGTATGATATGTTACGTCCCAAAAAAACAAGAAAACAACAACTTTGTAGTAGCTTTTTTTTGCCTATATGTTTTATCATTCTCTTTCTCTAAAAGCAACTTTTAAGACAATTGGAGACAATATTTACTCCATTCTATTGTCACTAGTGAAGGATACCTCACATTAGATCTTCATGCAAAGAAATACATACCAGTTGAGGTATATCAAACCTTTTTGGATCTACTCAAAGGACGGTTATTAGCATGTTTTAACCACTCCTATAAAAATGGTAGATTATCAGATACTCAACAAAAAGGTCTGATTTCACTATTACTGAAACAGGACCCAGGTGGTAAATATAAAAGATCCAGACGATCTAAACAATTGGAGGCCAATTACTCTTCAGTGTTGGGAAGCAAAAAACAAAGTTGTCATTGTATGCTGATGAATCATGTTTTCTTTTAAATCCACAATTTGGATACCTCCATAGCCTCATAGAGGATCTAGATAATGTTTCTAACCTCTCTGGATTACAACCAAATTATGATAAATGTACTATATTACGTATTGGATTGGGGGGGTGGATAACTTTTACATTACAGTGTAGTTTACCAATAAAATGGTCTGACGGTGAAGTGGACATACTCAGTATTCATATCCCGAAATAAATAAATGATCTTACTACAATACATTTTAATAGAAAGTTATCAAAAATAGATAAAATCTTGCTACCATGGAAAGGAAAATACCTGTCTATTTGTGGAAAAATCACTTTGATTAACTCTTTAGTCATATCCCAGTTTACCTATTTGCTTATGGCCCTGCCTACACCTAACGACTTGTTTTTTAAATGATATGAGCCAAAAATATTACATTGTATTTGGAATGGCAAGCCAGACAAAATTAAACCGCCTATTTATATTATGAATATGAATATTATTCATAATAGAGAAAGAAATATTAAATATTAAAGCATTAGACCTCTCACTAAAGGCTTCAGTCATACAAAACCTATACTTAAAATACAAACTGGTTCTCTAGCAGATTAGTAAGAATGGCTCACCCCGTGTTCAAGAATGACCTTTTTCACTTTATTCAGATTACAACCTCTCACTTTCAGTTATTTGAAAATGAAATGATTTCCAAAATATCACTATTTTCAAAACAAGGCATAGAAAGTTGTTTGCAATTTCAATTTAATCCACCAAAAAAAGACAGAACAAGGTCCGGCATTAAAGACCAAAATTGGTTAAAGAAAATGGTGATAAATAAAAAAGTATACCAATTTCATTTAAGGACCAAAACATTGACAGCTGTGCCATAGAGATTGCAAAATAGTTGGGAAGAGATTATGGATGTACCGATTTCATGGCACATGGTTTATTAACTGATACACAAAACGACACCGGATTCAAAACTTAGAGTTTTTCAATTTAAATTATTATTAAAAATTCTTGCAACCAATAGAATGTTATATATATGGGGGATATAACCATCCCAGCACTGCAGATTTCGCTGCAAATAAATTTGTTTTGGTACTGTCCATATGAAGTTTGTTTTTGGTCGCAGGTTTAGGACTGGCTGAAGATTTGCAAAATTTACCTGGAGTTAACTCTGCAAATAGCATTGCTGGGGGATCTGAAAAGTCACAGTCAATTAATCAATAAAATAATAATACACTTAGCAAAAATGTTTATCTTTAATTTACAATCTGTAGAAACTATGAGAATACAAAGGTTCAGAACTTTTGTGAAACATCACAGCACCATTAAAAAAGATATGGCAAATATCAATCAAAACTGGATGGTCTTCAGAGATAGATGGGAGGGGTTGAGGGTAGCTGAAGGATGGGACTAAAAACAAACAAAAGATAACTAATGTAAAATATACTGTGTCCGTAAAATGTAAATAGTATGTACAAGCAGGAAGTAGAAGCCTAAGTGTTGTTGTCAATTAGTTTACTCAATTAGGGGAGGTGTGGTAGGGTTAGGGGAAAATAATAAATGTAAATATATACAGAACCGGTCAAAAGTTTGGACACACCTACTCATTCCAGGGTTTTTCTTTATTTTTTACTATTTTCTACATTGTAGAATAATAGTGAAAACATCAAAACTATGAAATAACACATATGGTAGTAACCAAAGAAGTGTTAAACAAATCAAAATAGTTTAGATTTTAGATTCTTCAAAGTTGCCACCCTTTGCCTTGATGACAGCTTTGCACCAGCTTCACCTGGAATGCTTTTCCAACAGTCTTGAAGGAGTTCCCACATATGCTGAGCACTTGTTGGCTGCTTTTCCTTCACTCTGCAGTCCAACTCATCCCAAACCATCTCAATTGGGTTGAGGTTGGGTGATTATGGAGGCCAGGTCATCTGATGCAGCACTCCATCACTCTCCTTCTTGGTCAAATAGCCCTTACACAGCCTGTAGGTGTGTTGGGTCATTGTCCTGTTAAAAAACAAATGATAGTCCCACTAAGCGCAAACTAGATGGGATGGCGTATCGCTGCAGAATGCTGTGGTAGCCATGCTGGTTAAGTGTGCCTTGAATTCTAAATCAATCACAGACAGTGTCACCAGCAAAGCACCCCCACACCATCACACCTCCTCCTACATGCTTCATGGTGGGAACCACACATGCCAAGATCATCCGTTCACCTACTCTGCGTCTCACAAAGACACGGCGGTTGGAACCAAAGATCTCAAATTTGGACTCATCAGAGTTCCACCGGTCTAATGTCCATTGCTCGTGTTTCTTGGCCCAAGCAAGTCTCTTATTATTATTGGTGTCCTTTAGTAGTGGTTTCTTTGCAGCAATTCAACCATGAAGGCCTGATTCACGCAGTCTCTTCTAAACAGTTGATGTTGAGATGTGTATTTTATTTTAACTCTGTGAAGCATTTATTTGGTCTGCAATTTCTGAGGCTGGTAACTCTAATGAACTTATCCTCTGCAGCAACGGGTAACTCTGGGTCTTCCTTTCCTGTGGCGGTCCCCATAAGAGCCAGTTTTCTTGATGGTTTTTGCGACTGCACTTTAAGAAACTTTCAAAGTTCTTAAAATGTTCCGTATTGACTGACCTTCATGTCTTAAAGTAATGATGGCCTGTTGTTTCTCTTTGCTTATTTGAGCTGTTCTTGCCATAACATGGACTTGGTCTTTTACCAAATAGGGCTATCTTCTCTATACCACCCTTACCTTGTCACAACACAACTGATTGGCTCAAACGCATTAAGAAGGAAAGAAATTCCAAAAATTTACTTTTAACAAGGCACACCTGTTAATTGAAATGCATTCCAGCCAGGTGACTACCTCGTGAAGCTGGTTGAGAGAATGCCAAGAGTGTGCAAAGCTGTTATCAAGGCAAAAGGTGGCTACTTTGAAGAATCTAAAATCTCAAATATATTTTGATTTGTGTAACACTTTTTTGGTTACTACATGATTCCATATGTGTTATTTCATAGTTGTCACGATCGTTGAGAGACGGGTCACACCAAGGTGCAGCGTGGTATGCGTACTTGTTTATCAAGACGAATAAACACTTGACAAAATAACAAAACGTGAAGCTCAAACAGTGGCTACACACAACAAGCCAAACACGAGTCAAGATCCCACAACTAAGGTAGGCAACCAGGCTACCTAAGTATGATCCCCAATCAGAGACAACGAGCGACAGCTGCCTCTGATTGGGAATCGCACCCGGCCAAACCTAGACATAAACATACTAGATCTCCAACATAGAAATACAATCCCATAGATCTCAACAGAAACTCACACCCTGACCCAACCAACAAGAGTTCTCTAGATCAGGGCGTGACAATAGTTTTGATGTCTTCACTATTATTCTACAATGTAGAAAATAGTAAAAATACAGAATAACCCTGGAATGAGTAGGTGTGTCCACATTTTTGACTGGTACTGTATATATTTATAAAAAATATATGAGAGGGATTGGAAATGATACAGGAAATTACATTGATAGAAGCCACAATCTATAAGCAATATTAAAGCTGATCCACCCCTAAAAAATAAACATTCTGAAAACCACACATTTAAAGAGTTGTGCAATGCAATATATTAGACCTGCACATGAAAATACAATAGATGTACATAACTATAGACGGGTTGGCTGACAACATCATGAAAATGATACATGCGCACCATTGAATTGGACCTTTTTCAATTGTGCAACTGGTTTGTAGGTTTTCAAGTGAGCCATCACATTTGTTTGTGATCAGAGGACCACTGCTTCAAGCCCAGTAAGGGGACAGGGACAGTGGAGGAAGCGAAGCCGTAGTGACGTCGGTTACATCTGCCAAAGCGAGATCATAAATAGCCAACATTTACCCATGTGTTTTCAGCGTTCGGCCACAATGAGTGTCCCGACCCGGGCATCCCGATAAATGCGAGGCGCTTCGGGGACAACTTCCAACTGGGCAGCTCCATCTCAGTGATCTGTGAGGATGGCTTCATCAAGACCCAGGGGGCCAAGACCATCACCTGCGAGCTGGACAACGGCAAGGTGATGTGGAGTGGTCCCATTCCCAAATGTGAAGGTAAATATTATGTGTGTGTGTGCGTGTGTGTGTGTGTGTGTGTGTGTGTGTGTGTGTGTGTGTGTGTGTGTGTGTGTGTGTTTGTGTGTGTGTGTGTGTGTGTGTGTGCGTCTGTACATGCACAATTTTGGGGGGCAATTACCCTGTTCCTAACACAGACAATAGCCTAAGTGAGTGTAAGCGGAGTGGACACTCAACTGTGTGTTGGAGGATGCTAGGGGAGGCTCAGCGATGCTCAGGGACAGGGACAGGGACAGGAAACAAGTGTGCTGTAGGCCAGCCAGTCACCTTCTATCTGACTTCCTGTCAGTCATTCACCCTGCTCCACATGGCTCCTGATGCTGTGGTGACATCACTCATATGGGCAGGGTAATGAAGAGCCTCATGTCTGCTTAGCTGCCCTTGTAACATGTACAGTATGCTGTAGGACACTGTTTTCTAGATTAGCAAGCAAGGCATTTTTTGGTATTTTTTTAGACAGGAAGAGGTGCCAGGTCAATATAAAAAGGCAACAACACCAATAAACTTTTAAGAAAATGTATTTTCTCTCTCTTTCTCTTTCAACCCCCCCCCCCCCCGGTATTTTTCTCTATAGCCCCCTGCGGAGGCCACTTCTCCGCTCCCAGTGGGGTGATCCTGTCCCCAGGGTGGCCTGGATACTATAAGGACTCCCTCAGCTGTGAGTGGGTCATTGAGACCGAGCCGGGACGCTCCATCAAGATCACCTTTGATAAGTGCGTGTCCATTATATCAATATAGTTACTTTATTTTATTAGCATTTTCTAACTGTTGAAGACAGAGAATGGATTTTTGCATCAATGAAGGCACTTATAATGGAATGGTATTGCTTATTTATTGCGTATTTTTAAAGAGTCTCCTTTCAAAGTGCTTTTTAGTGCAGTAGTAGGCTTAATATAAGTTTATGCAACTGCACTACTGAATATGTTTACCACAGGCAAATCAAATTCTTACATTTCATAATTCATTGTTCCAAATTTCATAATTCCTCCTCTCTCATTGGTGCAGGTTTCAGACAGAGCTGGGCTATGACTTCCTGGAGATCCACGATGGGCCCAACCTGCTCTCTCCTATGGTTGGCTCGTTCAACGGTACCCAGGTGCCCCAGTTCCTGTTCAGCAGTACTAACCACCTGTACATGCTCTTCACCACCGACAACAGCCGCTCCAACAGTGGATTTAAGATTATCTACGAAAGTAAGTCTAGTAGCCGAGTTGTTCCTGGTCAGGTCATGTGTTGAGGAAAAACTCCTACAGGTGTAGGATCTTAATTTGAGCAGGTTTTCTACAGAAGGAAAATAAGCCTGCAGCAACAGGAAATGTGAATTATTATTTTGTAGGGGTAGATACATATTCCAGAAATGAAAAATGTCAGAAGCCTTTTTAAACCTCAAATACACTACAAGTTTAAAAGTTATCCTGCAACAGGGTGATCAAATTAAGATCCTACATCTGTAGCCCTACCCATAGTTTTAACTTTTAACACTCATGATTCCAAACTGCTACAGCTTTGTTCTTGTTCCCTGTATAAAATGTTTGATGAAAGTAAATTGCTTTGTTGTTGACCCCATAATATATCTAACATTTTCTCCTTAGGCGTGACGGTGGACACCTACTCCTGCCAGGACCCGGGATTCCCGGTCAACGGGTTGCGTTACGGTCAGGACTTCACCATTGGTTCGACCGTGTCGTTCGGCTGTGACCCTGGATACAGGCTGAGCCACGAAGAACCGCTCGTCTGTGAGAAGAACCACTGGTGGAGCCACCCTCTGCCCACCTGTGATGGTATGGACCAGTTCAAACTAGTTTAAACCAATTAAAATAAGTTCAAACCAGTTTAAACCACTTCAGATTGGTTCAAACCACTACAAACCAGTTTAAACCACTTCAAAATAGTTCAAACAATATAATACAGGTAACATTTTTTTTTTACTACAATTTCAACACCACAATAAATGTTTACATTTATTCAAAACAAATGCAATTCTCATTTAACAAATACAACATTAGACTCCTAAACTGCCCTACCAGCACCAGGGAATCAAGACGCAGGGAGTTCTGCAGGTTATTACAAAAATGGTGGGCATTAAAACTGAAGGCGGATTTACCTAATGAGTTATACTCATCTGTCATGATTATTGTCATGTTGAACACATATGAAGTGGGCTAAAGCAGGCGTTTGTATAGTCCATACAGTATCTGATTATCAGGCTACTGCTCTAGAGTCTACACCAGGGCTCTCCAACCCTGTTCCTGGAGAGATACCCTCCTGGAGGTTTTAACTCCAACCCTGTTCCTGGAGAGATACCCTCCTGGAGGTTTTAACTCCAACCCTGTTCCTGGAGAGATACCCTCCTGTAGGTTTTAACTCCAACCCTGTTCCTGGAGAGAAACCCTCCTGGAGGTTTTAACTCCAACCCTGTTCCTTAAGAGATACCCTCCTGGAGGTTTTAACTCCAACCCTGTTCCTGGAGAGATACCCTCCTGTAGGTTTTAACTCCAACCCTGTTCCTGGAGAGATACCCTCCTGGAGGTTTTAACTTCAACCCTGTTCCTGGAGAGCTACCCTCCTGTAGGTTTTAACTCCAACCCTGTTCCTGGAGAGCTACCCTCCTGTAGGTTTTAACTCCAACCCTGTTCCTGGAGCGATACCCTCCTGTAGGTTTTAACTCCAACCCTGTTCCTGGAGAGATACCCTCCTGTAGGTTTTAACTCCAACCCTGTTCCTGGAGAGATACCCTCCTGTAGGTTTTAACTCCAACCCTGTTCCTGGAGAGCTACCCTCCTGTAGGTTTTAACTCCAACCCTGTTCCTGTAGAGAAACCCTCCTGTAGGTTTTAACTCCAACCCTGTTCCTGGAGCGATACCCTCCTGTAGGTTTTAACTCCAACCCTGTTCCTGGAGAGAAACCCTCCTGTAGGTTTTAACTCCAACCCTGTTCCTGGAGCGATACCCTCCTGTAGGTTTTAACTCCAACCCTGTTCCTGGAGCGATACCCTCCTGTAGGTTTTAACTCCAACCCTGTTCCTGGAGCGATACCCTCCTGTAGGTTTTAACTCCAACCCTGTTCCTGGAGAGAATCCCTCCTGTAGGTTTTAACTCCAACCCTGTTCCTGGAGAGCTACCCTCCTGTAGGTTTTAACTCCAACCCTGTTCCTGTAGAGAAACCCTCCTGTAGGTTTTAACTCCAACCCCAGTTGTAACTAACCTGATTCAGTTTATCAATCAGCTAATAGAATCAGGTGCGCTAGTTTAGGGTTGGAGTGAAAACCTACAAGACAGTAGCTCTCCAGGAACAGGGCTGGTGTTAACCTACTGGACGGTAGCTCTCCAGGAACAGGTCTGGCGTTAACCTACTGGACGGTAGCTCTCCAGGAACAGGTCTGGCGTTAACCTACTGGACGGTAGCTCTCCAGGAACAGGGTTGGAGTTAAAACCTACAGGACGGTATCTCTTCAGGAACAGGGTTGTAGTAAAAACCTACAGGACGGTAGATGTCCAGGAAGAGGGTTGGAGTTAAAACCTACAGAATGGTAGCTCTCCAGGAACAGGGATGGAGAGCCCTGGTTTAGATCTACAGTATGTGCAATATCTTGAGCTATCACTTTCAACAGGCAGCAATTAGTTTAAATATTCTCTCATATGATATGGTGCCAAACTGCCTGTTGACAAAACCGCCGTAGGATTTGAATTGTGTTATGCATGAGTGACGAGATATTTACAAGAGTGGGCCTTAAATATTAAAGTCAATGACAGGTGATGTAAATTGGCTGCTTGGTAAAAGAGGAACTCTGGGGCTGACAAAGCCTTTCAGCTCATTTGTCTCTCCGTGTTTTGACTTCAGAGATCTATTTTATTTTCCAGGGAGTAAACTCATCTGAGACAATGAAATTCAATGCCAGGCCATTAGGCTATCTGTGCAGGCGAATAACAGAGGCAATTTGCTGTGATGGCTGCTCGGCCTGATAGGAACTGATCTCCTCACCAGATTAGGGATCCGGGGGCATCCTTTACCTGCGCGCTTGCTTGTCATCTTACCTCCCCTGCCTCTGGTCGTCACTAGTTACCCCACCCACAAAGTCAGAAATCCAGCCTATTTACATTTTACATTTTACATTTTAGTCATTTAGCAGACGCTCTTATCCAGAGCGACTTACAGTTAGTGAGTGCATACATTTTCATATTTCTAAACCTAACCTTAACCTTGACCACACTACTAATCTCATGACTAACCCTAACCTTAAATTAATACCAAAAAGCACATTTTTGTTTTCATGAATTTTTACTATATAGACCATTTTGACTTTGTGGATGTGCTATCTACTGGGCCTAAGTGGAATAAGGAGGGAGGATGTGGTCCCTATTGCAGGGCATTCAAATGAAGGTCCTGATATTACTGTTACCAGCCTCCCTTGGAAAAGGTCTATGCTGAAATGTTGATTTGCAAGGTTCTATGATATAGAAATTGAAGGCAGGGCATGTCAAAATGAAACAGTTTGTTCAGTTCCTTTCTTGTTCAGAAAGCGAGGAGAGAGTGAGAGAAAAATAGAGAAATAATGTATGGAGAGGGAAAGAAAGAGACCAAAGTGAGGAACAGACTAAGATCTATGTAGTAAAATGTAAATATAAATGTAGTTGTCCAGATGTCCCTGTTTGATAAGGCTTTGCATTGAGTGCTTACTAGTATCGAAGTTGCTCCATTTATTATTGATACAGCACTACATCTATCTAGGACAGATGCGTATACAGTGGGGGGAAAAAGTATTTAGTCAGCCACCAATTGTGCAAGTTCTCCCACTTAAAAAGATGAGAGAGCCTATAATTTTCATCATAGGTACACGTCAACTATGACAGACAAATTGAGAATTTTTTTCTCCAGAAAATCACATTGTAGGATTTTTAATGAATGTATTTGCAAATTATGGTGGAAAATAAGTATTTGGTCACCTACAAACAAGCAAGATTTCTGGCTCTCACAGACCTGTAACTTCTTCTTTAAGAGGCTCCTCTGTCCTCCACTCGTTACCTGTATTAATGGCACCTGTTTGAACTTGTTATCAGTATAAAAGACACCTGTCCACAACCTCAAACAGTCACACTCCAAACTCCACTATGGCCAAGACCAAAGAGCTGTCAAAGGACACCAGAAACAAAATTGTAGACCTGCACCAGGCTGGGAAGACTGAATCTGCAATAGGTAAGCAGCTTGGTTTGAAGAAATCAACTGTGGGAGCAATTATTAGGAAATGGAAGGCATACAAGACCACTGATAATCTCCCTCGATCTGGGGCTCCACGCAAGATCTCACCCCGTGGGGTCAAAATGATCACAAGAACGGTGAGCAAAAATCCCAGAACCACACGGGGGGACCTAGTGAATGACCTGCAGAGAGCTGGGACCAAAGTAACAAAGCCTACCATCAGTAACACACTACGCCGCCAGGGACTCAAATCCTGCAGTACCAGACGTGTCCCCCTGCTTAAGCCAGTACATGTCCAGGCCCGTCTGAAGTTTGCTAGAGTGCATTTGGATGATCCAGAAGAGGATTGGGAGAATGTCATATGGTCAGATGAAACCAAAATAGAAATTTTTGGTAAAAACTCAACTCGTCGTGTTTGGAGGACAAAGAATGCTGAGTTGCATCCAAAGAACACCATACCTACTGTGAAGCATGGGGGTGGAAACATCATGCTTTGGGGCTGTTTTCCTGCAAAGGGACAAGGACGACTGATCCGTGTAAAGGAAAGAATGAATGGGGCCATGTATCGTGAGATTTTGAGTGAAAACCTCCTTCCATCAGCAAGGGCATTGAAGATGAAACGTGGCTGGGTCTTTCAACATGACAATGATCCCAAACACACCGCCCGGGCAACAAAGGAGTGGCTTCGTACGAAGCATTTCAAGGTCCTGGAGTGGCCTAGCCAGTCTCCAGATCTCAACCCCATAGAAAATCTTTGGAGGGAGTTGAAAGTCTGTGTTGCCCAGCGACAGCCCCAAAACATCACTGCTCTAGAGGTGATCTGCATGGAGGAATGGGCCAAAATACCAGCAACAGTGTGTGAAAACCATGTGAAGACTTACAGAAAACGTTTGACCTGTGTCATTGCCAACAAAGGGTATATTGAGAAACTTTTGTTATTGACCAAATACTTATTTTCCACCATAATTTGCAAATAAATTCATTACAAATCCTACAATGTGATTTTCTGGAAAAGAAAATCTCATTTGGTCTGTCATAGTTGACGTGTACCTATGATGAAAATTACAGGCCTCTCTCATCTTTTTAAGTTGGAGAACTTGCACAATTGGTGGCTGACAATACTTTTTTTCCCCACTGTAAGTGCCTGGCGAGAAGGAAGAGAAGAGAGTTTGGGAGGAGGAAGAGAAGAGAGGTTGGGAGGAGGAAGAGAAGAGAGGTTGGGAGGAGGAAGAGAAGAGAGGTTGGGAGGAGGAAGAGAAGAGAGGTTGGGAGGAGGAAGAGAAGAGAGGGTGGTTGGAGGAGGAAATGAAGAGAGGGTTGGGATGGAGACGGTGTGTTGGAGGAGGAAGCGCCGAGGTTGGGTTGGGCAGCAACGGGCGCGTTTGTGAGGGCCGCTCCGACTTTTTCTTCCCCGCCAGATCCGTCCCGCGCCGGTTTCGGGCGTCGGGATGGAGCGGAAGAAGGGTTGAGAGGAGGAAGATAAGAGAGGTTGAGAGGAGGAAGAGAAGAAGAGGTTTCACTCCCTCAATCTCCCTCAAGACTTACAAAACAACATCGCATCAGACAAAACGTGCCAAACTGATTTGTAAAATTACACTTTGCTTTACACAGACATGACTGCAGTTGTACCCTTGAGCAAGGCATTTAACTCCTACATCTGCTCCAAGAGGTCGTGCATCACTGACGCTGTGCTTTCAACCGTTTAGGACTCAGAGGTTTGAGTTAAGAAATATATATTTTTTAGTATTTGTTATTTTATTAGGATCCCTATTAGCTGTTGTGAAAGCAGCATCTACTCTTCCTGGCGTCCACACAAAACATGAAACAAATCAAATCAAATCAAATGCTATTGGTCACATACACGTGTTTAGCAGATGTTATTGCGGGTGTGGCGAAATGCTTATGTTTCTAGCTCCAAAAGTGCAGTAATATCTAACAATTTCACAACATATACAGTGGGGAGAACAAGTATTTGATACACTGCCGATTTTGCAGGTTTTCCTACTCGGGCCTCCCGAGTGGCGCAGTGGTCTAAGGCACAGTGCTAGCTGTACCACTAGAGATCCTGGTTCGAATCCAGGCTCTGTCATAGCCGGCCGTGACTGGGAGACCCATGGGGCGGCGCACAATTGGCCCAGCGTCGTCTAGGGGAGGGAATGGCCGGCAGGGATGTAGCTCAGTTGGTAGAGCATGGTGTTTGCAACGCCAGGGTTGTGGGTTCAATTCCCACAGGGGGTATGAAAAAAAATAAAAAAATGTATGCACTCACTAACTGTAAGTCGCTCTGGATAAGAGCATCTGCTAAATGAGTAAAATGTACACTTCAACTGTGAGAAACAGAATCTAAAACAAAAATCCAGAAAATCATATTGTATGATTTTTAAGTAATTAATTTGCATTTTATTGCATGACATAAGTATTTGATCACCTACCAACCAGTAAGAATTCCGGCGCTCACAGACCTGTTAGTTTTTCTTTAAGAAGCCCCCCTGTTCTCCACTCATTACCTGTATTAACTGCACCTGTTTGAACTCGTTATCTGTATAAAAGACACCTGTCCACACACTCAATCAAACAGACTCCAACCTCTCCACAATGGCTAAGACCAGAGAGCTGTGTAAGGACATCAGGAATAAAATTGTAGACCTGCACAAGTCTGGGATGAGCTACAGGACAATAGGCAAGCAGCTTGGTGAGAAGGCAACAACTGTTGGCGCAATTATTAGAAAATGGAAGAAGTTCAAGTTGACGGTCAATCACCCTCGGTCTGGGGCTCCATGCAAGATCTCACCTCGTGGGGCATCAATGATCATGAGGAAGGTGAGGGATCAGCCCAGAACTACACGGCAGGACCTGGTCAATGACCTGAAGAGAGCTGGGACCACAGTCTCAAAGAAAACCATTAGTAACACACTACGCCGTCATGGATTAAAATCCTGCAGCACGTAAGGTCCCCCTGCTCAAGCCAGCGCATGTCCAGGCTCGTCTGAAGTTTGCCAATGACCATTTGAATGATCCAGAGGAGGAATGGGAGAAGGTCATGTGGTCTGATGAGACAAAAATAAAGCTTTTTGGTCTAAACTCCACTCGCCGTGTTTGGAGGAAGAAGAAGGATGAGTACAACCCCAAGAACACCATCCCAACCGTGAAGCATGGAGGTGGAAACATCATTCTTTGGGGATGCTTTTCTGCAAAGGGGACAGGACGACTGCTCCGTATTGAGGGGAGGATGGATGGGGCTATGTATTGCGAGATCTTGGCCAACAACCTCCTTCCCTCAGTAAGATCATTGAATATGGGTCGTGGCTGGGTCTTCCAGCATGACAATGACCCGGAACACACAGCCAGGGCAACTAAGGAGTGGCTCCGTAAGAAGCATCTCAAGGTCCGAGAGTGGCCTAGCCAGTCTCCAGACCTGAACCCAATAGAAAATCTTTGGAGGGAGCTGAATGTCCGTATTGCCCAGCGACAGCCCCAAAACTTGAAGGATCTGGAGAAGGTCTGTATGGAGGAGTGGGCCAAAATCCCTGCTGCAGTGTGTGCAAACCTGGTCAAGACCTACAGGAAACGTATGATCTCTGTAATTGCAAACAAAGGTTTCTGTACCAAATATTAAGTTCTGCTTTTCTGATGTATCAAATACTTATGTCATGCAATAAAATGCAAATTAATTACTTACAAATCATACAATGTGATTTTCTGGATTTTTGTTTTAGATTTCGTCTCTCACAGCTGAAGTGTACCTATGATAAAAATTGCAGACCTCTACATGCTTTGTAAGTAGGAAAACCTGCAAAATCGGCAGTGTATCAAATACTTGTTCTCCCCACCGTACCCAATACACACAAATCTAAGTAAATCTAAGTAAAGTAAATGGAATTAAGATTATATAAGTATAAATATATGGACGAGCAATGTCAGAGCGGCATAGACTAAGATACAGTAGAATAGTATAGAAAACAGTATATATATATATATATATAAGATGAGTAATGCAACATATGTAAACATTATTAAAGTGACTAGTGTTCCATTTATTAAAGTGGCCAGTGATTTCTAATCTACAGTTGAAGTCGGAAGTTTACATACACCTTAGCCAAATACATTTAAACTCAGCTTTTCACAATTACTGACATTTAATCCTAGTAAAACTTCCCTGTCTTAGGTCAGTTAGGATCACCACTTTATTTTAAGAATGTGAAATGTCAGAATAATAGTAGAGAGAATTATTTATTTCAGCTTTTCTTTCTTTCAACACATTCCCAGTGGGTCAGAAGTTTGCATACACTCAATTAGTATTTGGTAGCATTTCCTTTAAATTGTTTAACTTGGGTCAAACGTTTCGGGTAACCTTCCACAAGCTTCCCACAATAAGTTGGGTGAATTTTGGCCCATTCCTCCTGACAGAGTTGGTGTAACTGAGTCAGGTTTGTAGGCCTCCTTGCTTGCACATGCTTTTTCAGTTTGCCCACACATTTTCTATAGGATTGAGGTCAGGGCTTTGTGATGGCCACTCCAATACCTTGACTTTGTTGTCCTTAAGCTATTTTGCCACAACTTTGGAAGTATGCTTGGGGTCATTGTCCATTTGGAAGACCCATTTGCGACCAAGCTTTAACTTCCTGACTGATGTCTTGAGATGTTGCTTCAATATATCCACATAATTTTCCTTCCTCATGATGCCATCTATTTTGTGAAGTGCATCAGTCCCTCCTGCAGCAAAGCACCCCCACAGCATGATGCTGCCACCCCCGTGCACCCCCGGTTGGGATGGTGTTTTTCGGCTTGCAAGCCTTCCCCTTTTTCCTCCAAACATAACGATGGTCATTATGGCCAAACAGTTCTATTTTTGTTTCATCAGACCAGAGGACATTTCTCCAAAAAGTACGATATTTGTCCCCATGTGCAATTGCAAACCGTAGTCTGGCTTTTTTAATGGCGGTTTTGGAGCAGTGGCTTCTTCCATGCTGAGCGGCCTTTCAAGCTATGTCGATATAGGACTAATTTTACTGTGGATATAGATACTTTTGTACCTGTTTCCTCCAGCATCTTCACAAGGTCCTTTGCTGTTGTTCTGGGATTGATTTGCACTTTTCGCACCAAAGTACGTTAATCTCTAGGAGACCGAACGCTTCTCCTTCCTGAGCGGTATGATGGCTGCGTGGTCCCATGGTGTTTATACTTGCGTACTATTGTTTGTACAGATGAATGTGGTACCTTCAGGCGTTTGGAAATTGCTCCCAATGATGAAACAGACTTGTGGAGGTCTACAGTTATTTTTCTGAGGTCTTGGCTGATTTCTTTTGATTTTCCCATGATGTCAAGCAAAGAGGCACTGAGTTTGAAGGTAGGCCTTGAAATACTTCCACAGGTACACCTCCAATTGACTCAAATTATGTCAATTAGCCTATCAGAAGCTTCTAAAGCCATGACATCATTTTCTGGAATTTTCCAAGCTGTTCAAAGGCACAGTCAACTTAGTGTATGTAAACTTCTGACCCACTGGAATTGTGATACAGCGAATTATAAGTGAAATAATCAAACAATTGTTGTAAAAATTACTTCTGTCATGCACAAAGTAGATGCCCTAAATGACTTGCCAAAACTATAGTTTGTTAACAAGAAATTTGTGGACTGGTTGAAAAACTAGTTTTAATGACTCCAACCTAAGTGTATGTAAATGTCCGACTTCAACTGTATGTATATAGGCAGCACCCTTTAATGTGCTAGTGAAGGCTATTTAACAGTCTGATGGCCTTGATATAGAAACTGTTTTTCAGAGCTACATACATTTAAAATGTCACACATAGCCTACATATCAGTACATACACATAAAATATCTAGGTCAAATAGGGGAGAGGCGTTGTGCCGTGAGGTGTTGCTTTATCTGTTTTTTTTAAACCAGGTTTGCTGTTCACTTGAGCAATCGGAGATGGAAGGGAGTTCCATGCATTCATGGTTCTATATAATACTGTACATTTTCTTGAATTTGTTCTGGATTTGGGAACTGTGAAAAGACCTCTGGTGGCATGTCTGGTGGGGTAAGTGTGTGTGTCAAAGCTGTGTATAAGTTGACTATGCAAACAACTTGGAATTTTCAACACATTCATGTTTCTTATAAAAAGAAGAATTGATGCAGTCAGTCTCTCCTCTACTTTTAGTGAAGAGAGACTGGCATCCATAGTATTGATATTACAGATTACAGTGAAGAGCACTGTTTCTGTTCTCTGCAAAAACATGGACAATAAAGTAAAGTGTGTCCCCCTCTTTGTCCCCCAGCGTTGTGTGGAGGGGACGTGCGAGGGCCCGGCGGCACCATCCTGTCCCCTGGATATCCTGAGATGTATCCTAGCTCACTAAACTGTACCTGGACGGTGGAGGTCAGCCACGGCAAAGGTCAGCCTGGGTTATTAACTACTACAATCATATTTATAATGGAATGTGACCCTTCATAACTGTTTTTGACATAGCTATTCTGCTTGAAGATATATAACATATAAATCATTTAATTAAGAGAAACAAGCAAACAATCCTTAAAAATGTTGATGCTGTTCAATTATATGTGAATTAATAAACATCTCAAGAATGGACTCTTATTCCCTTTATCAGCATGCTGGTAAAAGGCGGTGTGGGAATGGAACAGACATGAATACAGATTCACTGTAGGTCCACTTCCCAGCCCAGCCCATCTTGCTGAAATATCAATATAATACAAAACTCTGGGTTGAGAATAATGAAAGTTCCTTGGAATTTTAATTTCCCATAGCTGCTAAGATATTCAATATGTTTCTCTGAATAATCACCCCCGAATTGAAATGCAGCACCCCCCCCTCCCCCCCCAAAAAAGAAAAAGAAAACCCAGAGCCTTCTTGTTTTATATTAACTGACCTCACCTTTGAATGTAATGAAATTAAGTCGTCTCTCCCTCCACTTGGCTCTTCTCCTCTCAGATTAAACCGTCGTTTCAATTGAATTTGATAATTTCATCAGGGGGAGGTTGACAGGTAGCTTGAACCATATTATTGGCTGTTCTCCTCTTGACTTGGCTTATTATTGGCTGAACACCTTAGTGTTTGTCCCAATAGGGGTCCAATTTACCTTCAACACCTTCCACCTGGAGGATCACCATGACTACCTGCTCATCACTGAGAATGGCAGCTTTGTCCGGCCCCTGGCACGCCTCACGGGTAACGAGCTGCCTTCGCCAACCAATGCAGGGCTCTACGGGAACTTCAAGGCCCAGCTGCGCTTCATATCTGACTTTTCTATATCCTACGAGGGATTCAATATTACCTTCTCTGGTGAGTAGGAGGAGTGTGTGGGTGGGTGGGTTGCTGTTGGTGTGTGTGCATATGTGTGTCCATTCAAGAGCAGCCTCCTCAACGCATGCTTGTGTGTACGTACACGTGTGTGTGCGTGCATGTGTGTGTGTTTGAGAGAGAGGGAGATAGAGATTGTATGGGTCAGTCGCTCTGGTGTTTGTGCTTGTTACCATCTCCAAGTGGACTGGTCTGATAGCTCCTTTCCGTCTAGCTTCACATGCCTCCAGTGCTCTGTCATGTGCTCTGTTCCATGCTCTGTCCAGTGCTCTGTCCTGTGCTCTGTCCTGTGCTCTGTCCAGTGCTCTAACATCCACTCTGACTAGGCCTCACCCAGATACACACCTTCAATAATTGATGGGGGGGAAAAAATCATCCTTTCAGTTAGCCATCCCTGAAGTTTTTTGGGGTCATATACAGTGGGGAAAAAAAGTATTTAGTCAGCCACCAATTGTGCAAGTTCTCCCACTTAAAAAGATTAGAGAGGCCTGTAATTTCCATCATAGGTACACGTCAACTATGACAGACAAATTGAGATTTTTCTTCTCCAGAAAATCACATTGTAGGATTTTTAATGAATTTATTTGCCAATTATGGTGGAAAATAAGTATTTGGTCACCTACAAACAAGCAAGATTTCTGGCTCTCACAGACCTGTAACTTCTTCTTTAAGAGGCTCCTCTGTCCTCCACTCGTTACCTGTATTAATGGCACCTGTTTGAACTTGTTATGAGTATAAAAGACACCTGTCCACAACCTCAAACAGTCTCACTCCAAACTCCACTATGGCCAAGACCAAAGAGCTGTCAAAGGACACCAGAAACAAAATTATAGACCTGCACCAAGCTGGGAAGACTGAATCTGCAATAGGTAAGCAGCTTGGTTTGAAGAAATCAACTGTGGGAGCAATTATTAGGAAATTGAAGACATACAAGACCACTGATAATCTCCCTCGATCTGGGCAAGATCTCACCCTGTGGGGTCAAAATGATCACAAGAACGGTGAGCAAAAATCCCAGAACCACACGGGGGGACCTAGTGAATGACCTGCAGAGAGCTGGGACCAAAGTAACAAAGCCTACCATCAGTAACACACTACGCCGCCAGGGACTCAAATCCTGCAGTGCCAGATGTGTCCCCCTGCTTAAGCCAGTACATGTCCAGGCCCGTCTGAAGTTTGCTAGAGTGCATTTGGATGATCCAGAAGAGGATTGGGAGAATGTCATATGGTCAGATTAAACCAAAATAGAAATGTTTGGTAAAAACTCAACTCGTCGTGTTTGGAGGACAAAGAATGCTGAGTTGCATCCAAAGAACACCATACCTACTGTGAAGCATGGGGGTGGAAACATCATGCTTTGGGGCTGTTTTTCTGCAAAGGGACCAGGACGACTGATCCGTGTAAAGGAAAGAATGAATGGGGCCATGTATCGTGAGATTTTGAGTGAAAACCTCCTTCCATCAGCAAGGGCATTGAAGATGAAACGTGGCTGGGTCTTTCAGCATGACAATGATCCCAAACACACCGCCCGGGCAACAAAGGAGTGGCTTCGTACGAAGCATTTCAAGGTCCTGGAGTGGCCTAGCCAGTCTCCAGATCTCAACCCCATAGAAAATCTTTGGAGGGAGTTGAAAGTCCGTGTTGCCCAGCGACAGCCCCAAAACATCACTGCTCTAGAGGAGATCTGCATGGAGGAATGGGCCAAAATACCAGCAGCAGTGTGTGAAAACCTTGTGAAGACTTACAGAAAACGTTTGACCTGTGTCATTGCCAACAAAGGGTATATAACAAAGTATTGAGAAACTTTTGTTATTGACCAAATACTTATTTTCCACCATAATTTGCAAATACAATCATTAAAAATCCTACAATGTGATTTTCTGGATTTTATTTCTCATTTTGTCTGTCATAGTTGACGTGTACCTATGATGAAAATTACAGGCCTCTCTCATCTTTTTAAGTGGGAGAACTTGCACAATTGGTGGCTGATTAAATACTTTTTTCCCCCACTGTACATAGATATTGTAGCTTAAATTAGAAATGTCCTTCAGGATGTCATCCCTTCTGAGATCTAAAGGAGAAAGATGTTGATAAGGTTTGTTGACAGTGTTTAACTTACAAATGTGTGTGTAATGGCATGGTGTTTTATGTAGGCTACACTTCCAATGAAGTAGCCTCATAGGCCTATGCTTACTATCTTATGAATGTAAGTGGAGAAGGATTGCGTGTCCCTGTCGGGCTCAAGGGCTGCCCCCAAACCCCTGTCATGGACCTTGCATAGCCACGGGGTGGGGGGCAGGGGTTTGGGTAAAGCCCCATCTGAGACAAGTAATTTTACGTTCCATTATTAAAACAGCCAACAGGTCTAGCCACTAGCCTCTATAAGGTAAACAAGTGGTAGCCTAAATTAGAGGTATAGCTGAAACAAATAGCCTATAATGGAGACGGAGCCCCTGTTTTGGGATCCTTCCATCCATCCTAACCAGCCGATCCATCCAACCATTCTTCATTCCTCCCATCCTTGAAGACATTACAGATAGATGGATAGTGACAGGAGATATTACACTAGGCTACCAACCTAGTCATGTCAGATCACTGATTATTTCTTTATAGCCTATATAGCCTATCATCATTTATCTAATAGGCCTATATTTACATCAACAATTATTTCAAGAAAGGGAGAATCCATCCATGAATATATTCAAACAGCCCTCAGATTAGCTGCTTTGTGCATGCAGAAGTGTTCCTTGAGATGCCTCTCCTCCCACAGACACGTTTGCATAAAACTCCTGTTTCATTGTTTATGCCTCCCGCAGCCGTTGGATAATTGACTTTCCCTTGCCCACTGTAACGTATGATTAGCCTACAGTTTAGGGTACTCAATCTAGTGGGCTGCTATAGGTTTATAATGGGCTGCCAAATAGCGGTGTTGTGGCAATTTTGGAGAGCAGCTTGACGTGGGACATACACACATGCATAGCCCCCGGTCTACACCAGCATGGCAAGATAATTTGTTTTATTGGGTGTACTCACGTAGCCTACTAGCCTATAGTCGTTAGAAGGATAGTTGCAATAAGGGGGAAATACTACTGTTAGTAAAGCACCATGGATAAGGTCGTTAATAGTTGCAATTATGCATAGATTTTTTGCAAGGTGTTTGCCTGGGCTATGTAGCAGAACGTTGTAGCGAATTCGGAGGGCAGACTGACAGGGACTCAACCCCAGTTCTTGTCTCATTCAGTGACAGTGCAAAGACAGTTATTTGTTTACGCTCATAACGCACCATGGCCGTTAGAAGAGTGTATGCCTACAGTCTGAAATTGCCACGAGGAAACTTGGTGTGTGTGTACACGTGCATGTGCGTGTGTGTGAGTTGTTAGATCGTTAGATTGATAAGCGTGAGTGTGCAGTGACGCCTGTTTGAACGACTGTATTAGATCATTAGATTGCATTGGCTGTCGGTGCTGTTTAAGATGAGGGAGGATTATTATTTTTTTAGGAGCATGGCCTTATTTCTATTTCAGCATATTGGATGACTGTCATTCATATTCCATTCACCCAGCTCAATGTAACATCGATAGGTTTAGGTTACTACATAATAATACTCACATTTTCCCTATACCCATCATGAGGTTGCTACAACCTAGCCTATGAATGAAAGTTTACAAAGTAGGTGCACAGGTCAAGAGAAATCTGAGTAATCAAGGTGATAGACATTGACACTTTCAATATCGCCTTGCACACTCTTGCTTGCATCTAGCTGATCTAGGGTGTAATTATTAGTCCAACAGTTGCAAACTATAGTTTCTATTGGACAAATTCAGGTATGTTTATCCTTGTTTCATTCTGTTTGCTTCCATTTAAGAAACGTTTTTTAACAGAATTGGCGGAATGAATACAACCCTGATCACACGCAAAGAAAGTTCACTTTCATAGCAGCCACATACAAACAGCATGATCCCTTTGATCATTGTATAATTCCTACTCGCATCTACGCACTCTCCTCCTCTCACCTTTTCCCTTCGCTTGTGGACTTCAGTGCACAACATATCAGCTGTCTGTGACCAGGTGAAAAAAACTTTCCAAGCCAAACCTTCATATAATAACCACTAACCGCTACACACAGCCTACATCATTGTCACCATAGCTAACGTCAATGTCAACATAACTACTAGAACTAACTCATTAGTAAACCCGCCACAATCATGCAGCAAGCAGTTTAGTAGTTACGCCGGTGGGCCACGGTGGCAATAAATTAATAAAACCAAAAGCTTTTCTTGACATGGAAGAGTTCCAGTGTTGGATAGCCATAGCCAGTTAGCTAACATAGCATCCCTCTCTGTTTGAGCCGGGTGTTTGAGGCTAAACTAGCTAGCTCCATTCGCTACCTAAGTAAGTGAATAATAATAAAAAAAGACTACTAAAGAAATACTCTCTCTCGCTTCTCCATAATTTTTGAAGAAATTAATTTGTTAAAAACTGTTCAACAATTGTCTTACTTTCTCTTTGAGTCAACTACTCACCACATTGTATGCACTGGAGTGCTAGCTAGCTGTAGCTTATGCTTTCAATAATAGATTAATTCTCTGATCCTTTGATTGGGTGGAAAACATGTCAGTTCATGCTGCAAGAGCTTTGATAGGTTGGAGGACATCCTACGGAAGTTGTCATAATTACTGTGTAGAGGAGGACGGAAGCTAGCTGTTCTCCGGCTACACCATGGTGCTACCCTACAGAATGATGTTGTGGCTACTGTAGACCTTCATTGCAAAACAGTGTGTTTTAATCAATTATTTGGTGATATTTAGTATAGTTTTATCTAAAAAGGATAGCTTATGCACTGCTTTCAAACAAACCCTCATTGAATGTACAAGGTCGAAAGGTTTGACATGACACAATTTCTCTCCTCCTTCTTCAGAGTACAACTTGGAGCCATGTGAGGACCCGGGGATGCCACAGTTCGGCCGGAGGAACGGATATGGCTTCGGCATCGGGGACACCCTGACGTTCTCTTGCAACATGGGCTACCGGCTGGAGGGGGTGCCAGAGGTCAACTGCCTGGGAGGGGGGAGGCGCATGTGGAGCGCACCTCTGCCAAGGTGTGTGGGTACGTGGTCACCTGCTTTCATTCCCTTACAACTATTGTTACAATGCTTGTGGTTGTTATGATTTTACTTTATACAGTGGGGAGAGCAAGTATTTGATACACTGCCGATTTTGCAGGTTTTCCTACTTACAAAGCATGTAGAGATCTGTAATTTTTATCATAGGTACAATTCAACTGTGAGAGACGGAATCTAAAACAAATATCCAGGAAATCACATTGTATGATTTTTAAGTAATTAATTTGCATTTTATTGCATGACATAAGTATTTGATCACCTACCAACCAGTAAGAATTCCGGCTCTCACAGACCTGTTAGTTTTTCTTTAAGAAGCCCTCCTGTTCTCCACTCATTACCTGTATTAACTGCACCTGTTTGAACTTGTTACCTGTATAAAAGACACCTGTCCACACACTCAATCAAACAGACTCCAACCTCTCCACAATGGCCAAGACCAGAGAGCTGTGTAAGGACATCAGGGATAAAATTGTAGACCTGCACAAGGCTGGGATGGGCTACAGGACAATAGGCAAGCAGCTTGGTGAGAAGGCAACAACTGTTGGCGCAATTATTAGAAAATGGAAGAAGTTCAAGATGACGGTCAATCACCCTCGGTCTGGGGCTCCATGCAAGATCTCACCTCGTGGGGCATCAATGATCCTGAGGAAGGTGAGGGATTAGCCCAGAACTACACACGGCAGGACCTGGTCAATGACCTGAAGAGAGCTGGGACCACAGTCTCAAAGAAAACCATTAGTAACACACTATGCCGTCATGGATTAAAATCATGCAGCGCACGCAAGGTCTCCCTGCTCAAGCCAGCGCATGACCCATCTGAAGTTTGCCAATGACCATCTGGATGATCCAGAGGAGGAATGGGAGAAGGTCACGTGGTCTGATGAGACAAAAATAAAGCTTTTTGGTCTAAACTCCACTCGCCGTGTTTGGAGGAAGAAGAAGGATGAGTACAACCCCAAGAACACCATCCCAACCGTGAAGCATGGAGGTGGAAACATCATTCTTTGGGGATGCTTTTCTGCAAAGGGGACAGGACGACTGCACCGTATTGAGGGGAGGATGGATGGGGCCATGTATCGCGAGATCTTGGCCAACAACCTCCTTCCCTCAGTAAGATCATTGAATATGGGTCGTGGCTGGGTCTTCCAGCATGACAATGACCCGGAACACACAGCCAGGGCAACTAAGGAGTGGCTCCGTAAGAAGCATCTCAAGGTCCTGGAGTGGCCTAGCCAGTCTCCAGACCTGAACCCAATAGAAAATCTTTGGAGGGAGCTGAAAGTCCTTATTGCCCAGCGACATCCCCGAAACCTGAAGGATCTGGAGAAGGTCTGTATGGAGGAATGGGCCAAAATCCCTGCTGAAGTGTGTGCAAACCTGGTCAAGACCTACAGGAAACGTATGATCTCTGTAATTGTAAACAAAGGTTTCTGTACCAAATATTAAGTTCTGCTTTTCTGATGTATCAAATACTTATGTCATGCAATAAAATGCAAATTAATTACTTAAAAATCATACAATGTGATTTTCTGGATTTTTGTTTTTGATTCCGTCTCTCACAGTTGAAGTGTACCTATGATAAAAATTACAGACCTCTACATGCTTTGTAAGTAGGAAAACCTGCAAAATCGGCAGTGTATCAAATACTTGTTCTCTCCACTGTATCTAATTGCAGTGATTCTCAGTGCTGGGCTGTCTGAAAACCTTACTGTCAAATCCTTCATTCCTCCCATTCCTCAATTCCTCTCAAATTGCATTGGAGGAATGGATCCAAGATCCCTTTGAGAGGAATTATTGAGGAAACAAAGACGGAGGTAGCAAGGATTTGACAGATAGTAAGGTTTCCAGATAAAGCCTTGCGCTTGCACGTTTAGTCTCAGCTAAGTGCCATTACACCTGATTCAGCTAATTCATTGATCTTCAAACAACAGCTTGATTGGCTGAATCAGATGTTTCACCGCTGAGCTGGGACAAAAACCTGCAGTATTCTGGCTCTTGAGGAGCAGGGTTGAGGATCACTGATCTATATGGTTCACCATGGACATTTCCTTGCTTGTTGAGTTCTGAGCACTGAGAAGGAGTAGTGTGGCAGTAGGAGAGCCTTCACTCTTAAAAATAAAGATTCCAGTTGGAACCAAATAAGGTTCTTCAGAGTGATCCCATACCTTAAATGGGATGGTTCTTTCCATGAGTGTTAATTTAACTCTTTACTGTGTTACTTGAACTCTTGAATCAACACTGGAAATATTACACTGAAAAATCAACACTAGTTAACACTGGCCAATGTGCTGTGTGCTATGAAAGGGACACATCTGAAGGCCTCCATACATTTCAATAACCTTTTAGAATTCTGAAGAACCGTCGATGCCACGTCAAGAACCCCCCAATTAACTAAAAGGTTCTTTATTGGGCAAGAGTTCTCCAAAGAACCTTAACAGCTGAGGAAGAACCATTTAAGAACCTTTAGTGTAGGGTGCTCTGTTTAAGATATGCCACAATAAACCCGAAGACACACACAGAGACAGACAGGCAGACGGACGGACGGACAGACAGAGGGACAGACAGGCAGGCACACAGCTAGACACATAGCCAGACACAGACACAGAGCTCTTTCTCTATCCGTCTACATCAAACCCAATCTGCTCCCTGTCCTCTGTCCCTGTAGGGGAGTGTCTCTGTGTATCACTAACAAGCTGGGAGAGGTCAGACACGTTGTCAACAAGGCTAATGCAAAGAGACTAGCATGACTGCATGCTGCTTTAATAGAGATACTGTGGAGTGAGCTATGAATCTCACTGTCTCAATGTACCAAGCAAACCCCAGTCTGCTACACCACCTGTGCAGTGGGGTACCCAGACCTGGGTTTGTTGGTCTTTTTCTTTCAAGTAGTTTAGCTCCACTTAATTGAGCCATGGAATCATCCCAGAAGTGTACATTCCACCCATCTGGCACTCCAGGCAGGCTCAATCAAACACTCAAAGTATTTGATAAAAAACAACTACTATTTGAACCCAGGTATAGGGGTTACACTGTGTTTCCCCAGTCTCCTCCTCCTCAGACGAGCTTACTAGCGCTCTTGTTCCCCCATCAAACCTGCCTCTTCCTGTTTCTACACTGCTTACCGCGGCGTCCTCCCTGGTATGACACCAGCTGCTCGAGGAGAGTAGTGATTTACAATTCATGCTGTCATGTTGAGATGTTCCTGGATTGTATCTATCTGTGCATTCTGCAGCGCGGAGCCAAATAAAAGGAATACAGCAACCGCTAAACATCCATCAAATCCCAGATGTGTCTGAATAAAACACTATCCGCTGGAATTTATCCGCACATGCATAATGTCCGGGCCCTACCTGCCGGGCCTAAACAGATGAGTAATTATAATAATGGAGAACTTTTCAGATTTTTCCAACGGATCCCAAAAATAAAATAATTCAGGGCTGGGAAGGTCACCAGTAATTTTTCATATTAATTGAAAAAAATAATGATATGCATTTGTCAATGCTGCGTGTGCGTGCCGTTTGTTTACTTTCCTTGTTTCTGTGGTTTAATTTTTCATGGTGTTCATTGGTGCCAGATCTCTAATCTTGAGAGTGACTACAAAAACAAGGCCTCTAATTCCTGTTTTGGCATTACTTTTCAAAATGGCATCAGGTATACTGTACGCTTCAGGGATAGATTAAAAACAGAAGAATCTGTGCACAGACTACTTTTTGTAATGGTCTATATCCTAGAAGTTTAGCCTTTTATCATCAATACACAGTGGCCAATGTAAGTATTTTTGGGAGGATAAAGGAGTCTTTTTGGATGTGGATTAAAAACCTTCAGGAGACTGTTGATTGGTACAGTGTATGAATCATGTGTGGCAGACAAGCAGTAACACAAGCATCAAGTTTCCCAGCCATCCATCACAAACATCGATTTCTGTATACACCCCAAAACAAACAATCTCCACTTTCAAATGAGAAACAACCTCCACTTTCCAATCTTTATAAACTAAAGGCGTTTTGATGCCCCATTCAAACCCTGACCTATGCAATATAATCATATTTGACATAAACTGTATGTGACAATACATGTACCGGGGGAGGCAGGTAGCCTACCGGTTAAGAGCGTTGGGCCAGAAATCAAAAGGTTGCTGGTTCGAATCCCTGAGCTAACTAGGTGAAAAATCTGTTGAGGTGCCCTTGAGCAAGGCGCTTAACCCTAATTGCTCCTGTAAGTCATTCTGAATACAAGCGTCTGCTAAATGGTGAAAATGTACACCATGCTCTCTACGTTCATAAATGTCCAATTCCTCTTTGCAGCACTGTATGTAAAAAAGTATAATCTAATAGTCCAAATCAAACCGACTTTATAAAACATGTACAGATGTAGGATTGATCTTATTTTGATCACTCTTTTGTTGATGAGAATTTTCCTTCACATAATCCACATAATAATTCACATTACCTGTTGCTCCAGGATTATTTTCCTGCCCTAGCAAACTGACTCAAATTAAGATCTTATATCTGCATCCAACTGGGATGCTTATACCCAAGGGACAGACATCCGTACTTTCCTTCTCTCTTCAGTTTAATGATATTCTTCGAGATGAATCTCTCCCGACTGTAAAATGTGTTTCCGCTTCCAATCGGTCTGTTATAGGCACATTCATCACAGCAGGGGGCGTTTATGAGGGATGCCAAGCCCCTTCCACGGG